TTTCATTCATTCATTGCCATGGAATATGCGTTTACAATGTTTTTTCTACTGTTAACAGCTCGGTTAATGCGGCTCCCTCATCTTGCCGGTGGAAGTTTCATGGAAAAGACATTAAATTGACGACTTTTCCCCATGGTTACGTAATCAGCCTTTGTGGTGTAGTGGTTAGGTGTAGTCGCGTCGATTACAAGGTGCCGGGTTCGAGTCCTACTCAATTCTTTTTTTTCCTTTCTTTTTTTTCCCTTTTTTTGGTTGTTGCTTTCTATTAATATATACGTAAATAACTGTTATTTAATAAAGTGCAATAAACAGCAAGAAAAGCATTGTGTTTCCAGAGAAAAAATAGTACACTGTATATTATCTATATGGATAAACAATCTGAATTTCTATCATTTCCTACAATTTACTGTGGGAAAACCAGAGTTGACAACCACGTGATCATTTTCTAAACAACGTTCCCTCGAGTTCTTTCTATAGACTGATAGTAATTGTTACTTTCCAACATGCAAATAGGACATTTAATGTCATTTTCGCTTCTTTTAAGTCTCACTGTCTAACTAATGCCAGTATCAACAGAATGTGCCGCAGCATTAGTATCTTTTAGATACCCTAGTATTTATCATAAAAGCAAATTATTTGTTGGAAGCAGTTTTCTAAAGATGCGCAAAGAGGACGGTGAGCCCTCGTCCTTGTAACCAATGTTTTTGTTGAGGTCCTCCTTCTTTTTATCTGATTGAACTTTTTATTTCGTCCTTGGTCTTCGTTTATGAGGAGTAATTCTTCGGACTATACTTAATTCCTTCATCTGAAAAACATAAAGTACCATTCACGAAATATTGATCCTCCAAAGTCATTATACATTATGTTTTTTTATGAGCATTTTACTAAACATGTCCACACATTGTCGGAAGTTAGTGTACGAACATTTCCGAAACTTTGATTTGATTCCCAGTTATTTTCTCTATCGAAGTTCTCCGAAGAAGACCCAAACATGTTTCAATCACAGATGCACCAAATGATCATTAATTTTTATAGATCTTCGAGGATATAAAGCCATTGATTTCCCACCAACTGACATGAAAAGTACGTCATGTGGGACTCGGATATTTTACGACTCTATTTTTTATTGAAGAAAAGTTTTAAACAACCTGTCTTAAATCTGGAGGCTGTCTTTTAACAGAACCCAACAACCTCATAAGCAGAAATGGACCCAGTCTCCAAACATAACTGTGCCTCAGAACGTTATATACGAATTTTAAAGAAGAAATACTCTTGTAATGTCAGTAATAAAATATGTGAAAAATGCCACAGAAACCGTACTATGATTGAAAAAAGAAATTGAATTCATATGTTGGAGGAAAATGGGCTCTTACTAAACTAAACTATAAAACCTCAAAATTCAATTTTACCCGCCTGATTTAGTGACCGCTACGGGAGGGAGACTACGAGATTTGTCCCATTCTGCGAGAATAAGACCGGATAATCTGAGTGAGTTAGTATGTATGTAAACTCGACATCACAGCCCCTTAGGAATTTCTTCCACTCATTTTACCCTTAAGACATTTGGATCTATCTCCTATCAGCCCCTTAGAAATCATTTTACCCTTAAAAAATAACCTATTATCTCGAATCAGCCCTTAAGAAATTTCCGTCTGTTGGGGGTGTCCTCTCAGAAAATCTCGTCAACAGTATGGGGAAGGGGATAAAAAATGGTACGGCCCTAAGTCATTTACACTGCATGGAAGGTCCACACAAGAAAAGTGGCAAAAGTACTTGAAGAAATTAGTTACACTAGATTTTAACTTATTTGGACCTGCGGATTTCCCCCAAAACGCGTTTGAAACTAGTCGAGCGGTTTCCTGTTCGCTGTCCTGCTATAAAGAGCTAAAACGTACCAGCAAGCTGTTACAGGTCGTACACTTCGCGGCCTTAGCTTGCGAAGTTCGGGCATGTGCAGAAAGCAAAATTCCAGGTTTTGGGGTTTAAATGTGACAGAGCAGTCTTGGTGTCTACTTTTCGCTTTATCTCCTCCCCTCTTTCTTTGCTTTTCTTGTCTCATTTTTTTTCTCTTGCGGGGCATTTTGTATACTTCATTTTGATGGGTAAAGGTTTTAGGAACGCTTTTAGGATCTTAGGTTTAGATGAAAGGAAAGGTATGTGGGTAGTGGAACAAAATTTTCGTGGAAATTTTCAGGTCAATGTTAGATGGTTTGCTATCAGGTTCATTTCCTTTTACTTTGCATTCATTTGAAGTTCTGTTACCTCTCAACTACAGAAAACCAGGGAAAATAGAACCGACATCCAAAAAGAAAATTGAAAGTGCATCAATGCTCATCCAGTTTCACATAAAAACATGATTTAATAATGGAAGACAAGTACAGAGCACCATTTCTCAAATACATCCAAATGTAAATAATATATGGTCGTCTCAACATGTATCTCTACCCACCAGTGAAAACATCATCTTCCTTGTCAGGACTGCGTAATGGGGCCAAGTATAACTCTAAGCTACATGACCCGCAAAGAAGGGTCTTGTGCTTATGATATTAGAAATCATTCTAAGTGCCACGACGATTTTCAAAGATTCTGGACTTTTGGAAGGTTTTCAAAAACATTTCTATATTGTTCTGAAGAGTGGAGAATATGGGAATATTTATGAACAATGAACGCGACATTGGGCAATGTAGGGTTATCATCATCATCATTATCATTGCATTATTATTGTTATGAAATTTTCCAAAAGTATACAGCTTTTCTTTCTTTGCTACAACTGTTAAACAAATAACACAGCGAAAAGTAGAAATGCAAATTAATTGTTATTTTACTATGGTAACGCTGGGCAAAACTGAAATCACAATAAATTTCTTTTCTCAACATGAAAAGTCGTAAAGTGACCCATCGATAGTATAACCTGCGTCATGTTACATCAGGAGAGTCATCTCAAAACGGCGGCAAGCTGTACCTTGGACTGTACCCCATGCATGCAATCTGCAAGCTAGTGCTTTCTTCATACATTACTGCCATCTAAAGTCCTTTTATTGAGACGAATAAAAGGCAAACTGTATGGAACCATTTACAAGGGGAATTGAAGGCGAAGAGGAAGCAATCCTCGCTGATAGGGCAAGAGCAAGAAATCTGGTTCTGCTCCGTATGAGTTAATTGTGCAACGTTCGGCTTCAGAGCCAGACAACCAACAAAGATTTTGTCCCGTACAGCCGATCGGATTTTTGGCATTCCCTTACGAGGATCTCACGCTGACAAACTTGAAGAACGCATGTGCTGACCATTATAATTTGCCGGTGAGCTTATGCAATGTTTTTGTCACAAACAAATGACCCCCGTGTACCAACATTGAACAAATCCATCACCGGAAGGACAAGGTGGGAGTGTAAAAGATGCATGTGCTTACGAGCTTAAACTTTTCTTTTTTAACCTCTGTGGCTTATGACTAGTTATATTGAAATGAAACTGTAGGTAGCAATGCTTTATCAGAGAATTGAACTCCCTCGGTTTTCAATGAGGCGTCATCTGAGCATATAGCCATTGAATATTTCCTCACCTACAATAACAGAGATGTCAAGTTCCAGTGAGAAGCTGGCTGGAGATTTTCTTGACTGCCGAAGACGTGAGCTTTCTAGTGGGGTCCAAGGGCACGCCCACCCGTGAAAACTTTCAAAATCTGAGGTCCCCATATCACTTGTCCTGCATTCTGAGGTCATTTAAGGGTCACAATTTATTCATGTTACAGTGACTAATTTCGAGGTAGTAAAAGGCTGAAAGTATGATATATTAAATATTAGAAAGTAAAAGTTGTTTAATTCATAACGCAATTTTCTTTCATTTACACCCTCTTTTCTTTATTATGATGTATTTATTTCAATAATTGTTAACCCGAGTTCAGTTGGAGATTTTGCTTGCTCGGCTGGAGAGCTGGAGATTGGGCCTGAAAGCTGGAGACTCGCATCTATGCAATAAAACAATTTTACTTGGAAGAGCTTGTTTGTACCACATGGGAGGTATATTTAAGTGTAGATTATGGCATTATTCATTCATTAATAAATAGAGTGGGATGTGGCTGGCAGCTTTAAGTGGCTATTTGGTATTTTATTACCACTACACAAAACATTGTCAGTGATTTTGATTGGGGTTTTGGTTGTATTAAGAACAACCGTGCTTACATGGACTTGGTTGAACTCTACAGTGCAGGGTAGAAATCAATAAATTATGTGGAGCGCTTTTCTTTATATCCATACATATATTTCAGATCATTTACTGCAAACCGTGCCTTACATCCTCTTACATTTCTTTACATTTGTTTAGTTTTCTTACCTAAATTTTCTCCAAACACAAGACGACTTTAACGTCTAGTATAAGAACGGTAAATAAGCCAGACGACTTTAACGTCTGACGACTTTAACGTCTTCTGTTAAGTGCGTCCGAACGAAGCACTTAACAGACGACTTTAACGTCTCAGACTTAAGAGTCGTCTGGATAAAGATGGGATGTCGTAAACTAGGACGCATTTATGCTCGACTCGTCCAGAGACGACTGGGACGAGTGCAAAACAACATGGCGGCCAAGAAGAGCATGAAGGAGTCTCGTGGTAGAAATTGGAGTGAGGATGAACTTAAGGAGTTTGCATCTGTTCTTGCGGACGACCGAACTGAATTTGCATTAACTTTGGAGACTCTTGCACTCAAAAAGTCAGCTAATGTTCATATTTTTGAAGCCATTAAGAAAGAGTTATGCTCGTTTACAAGCGAAGACAACAACCAGTTCTAAGAAAGGAAAACCAAAGGAAATCGACACATCAGTTGTTAAGCTACGAGCAAAATATAAATGGCTGAAAGAGCAGTGGAGAAAATACACCGACAGGGCAAAGTCTGGCAGTGGTAAATCAGCAATAGATGAGCCTGAATGGTTTAACATAATGAACCCCATTTTGTCTGAAACACATACAGAGTTAAAGGTTGCCACTAAGGCAGCAGACATAGAAAGTGATGGTACCTGTAGCAGTGAAGATGATGAATATAGTGACAATTAACAAGAAAGACAAGACTGAAGTAACCATGGCGAAGAGTGCTTCTGCTATGATGCCACGTGAGAAGAAGCAGGTGTTAAATTCAAGTTCCTCCTCGTTAGAAGCAAGTTCTGAACACTTGTCACTTGGGATGAGAGTGTCGAAGAATTTAACAGGTAAATTAGAATATAATGGTTTCATATTTTCTCAGAATTTTAAAGGAATAATTTAACACACACACCTTTAACCAATGCAGGGTCAGTCAGAAACAGACCTACAACACACTGTACATACACACATGTACATGTTCATGTCAGTGTACGTGGTTTGATATAAAAGTATGCTGAATGTTTATAGATCAGTGCTTCAACTTAATTTGCCTCACTGTATTGAAACCTGACTCAAAATACAGTTAAAATTGCAGTTTTCCTGAACCTAAAAAAGGTGTTTTTCAATTTTTTGATCACAGTCGAATGTCAACCAACTGATGCAGACCATGAAGGGACTTCCATTGAGGAAGATGAAGTTGTTCTAAAGAAGGCATCCAAGAAAGGACAAGAAGGAGGTACAGAAATCAAGTGTCTCTGTTCGACCCAGGAAACGTAAAATAACTTCACAGAAAGATGCCATCAGCCAATTATCTACAACTCTTGAGAATCTTCAAAAGCACAAGATAAACGAATCCAAACTTGGCTTGAGGCAGATCAGAGAAGGGAAGAAGCATTTCTTAAATATCAGGAGAAACAGGCAGAACTCAACCGACAATATGAACTGCGTAGGATGGAGATAATGGCCCGTTTTCAGCAGCCTGTGTAACCATACCAAAATGCTTGGGTGATGCATGAACCAGCATTTCCATGTGCCTATTCTGGAGCTGAGAGTCAACAACCACACTACACAAATTTAGATAGTTATAATCGGTAGAGTGCCTTCTCGAAAAACCTTTTAATAGGTGAAATTCGGCAAATTTTGCTTGATTAACCTGTCAACAAGAAAAGATTTCAGGCTGTTGTTTTATCATTGTTTTGTTTAACCAGCATGAAGCTTTAACCTGACATCTGTCTGTATTTACAGGCTAGATTGTGATTGTTGTTTTAGAGTTTTGCCACATGCCTGTAATACATTTGGCATCCTGCTGGGAACAAGTTGATAGTTTGCATTTGCCTACTTGCATTTTACAGGAAGAGGGTGATTGGAAAAGATATTAAGCAAAATGGGGTTGGTAGGTGTGGTGTGTTTGTGTGTGCTGGGCTGTGAATGGGGGGACCACATGGTATAGAATGAAGGTATAGAGAGGGTCCAGTTCCCCACTCCAGATTCAAACTATCTGAAGTGTTGAATAAGGGGAACTTTATCAGAAAGGGGGCAAAAGATATTGAAAGAGGGTTAGTCCAGATCTCAAATGTCTGGTTATTTTGAGGGATATTAAGAACTTTCTAAAATATTTAGGGTTCTATTTTTAGGCCGACCCTGGGGTTTCCCTCACTATTGTGTTAAAATGTCTACTAGTGTCAGTAACCTCTATCTATATGCTCGAAATAATCCAGTTCTGTGGTTTTCAACTTAATGCGTCCATTTTTTATTGAAGGTTGTTTATACTGTTTTTCTTTCTTTCTTGTGGGAGTTGAAAAAGTATGTCGTAGGAGATTGTCAACGTAAGTATAATAATTATTATTACGCTAATGTTAACATTCTCCTAATACATACTTTTTCAACTCCCACAAGTGATAATTGATTGAAGACAAGTTTGTTTTTAAAGAAAAAGTAAAAGTTATTGACAGCTTTTCAAGATATTTAGAACAATGTCTGACAATTTGGGAAAGGTGGTTAAGCGATTTGATCAGGCCTTTAGAGAGCAGGGAAAACATCGTTTTAAGTGATGAAGTTCAGGAAAGTGTTGGATGACGTCATAGCAATAGGGGTGTTTATAGTAGCCCCATGTGCTGTGTCAAGCTTGACGGTGCCTACCACCCTTGATCCCCAGCCAACCAAACTATTGACATGCACTGCATCCTTGATAAGATACCAGAGAATGTAAATGACAATTATCTTTAATTTCAACACTTCAAAAATCCTTAAATCTTCTGAAATAAAGCTCAACTACAGTGTATGCCTGCAACCTTTTTTGTACAAGGTCCATAAAACATTTGCATAACTACTATTGTTGTTTCAGTGGCTTAACAAAGAAGCTTATTCACATGCCACTTACTTATTTTATTAAGGCTATCATCTAACGGTAACCTCTCACAGGGATACTCTGAGGGCTTCATCATACATTCATGAGGAACATGAGACAAAGCTTTAAGAGTGCCTGTGTGGGAGGCTTGCCATCCTTTCCATTAATCTTATAGCCCAGACGTTTTTAAAACATTACGGTTAGTTAACTTTTTACATGTATTGTAGTTGATTAAGTTTCTACCAGACTGTTGCTGTTTAAAAACAGATATATTAGGCCATGGAGTTTAAATGTTTGTTAATATAAAGAACTAGCTATACAGCTAGTATGTACCTTAATAAACATGGTTGAGATTCCCAATATCTATGTTTACTTTAGTCAACTGTAAGATGTTTAAGAAATGAATTTTGTTTTACAGGCTTAATAAAATCCTTACTTTGTCTAAGGATTTTGTACTTCAGTAGACTAAGTAAAGACATTTTCATATTACAGTTATGTAGTCCTCACTTTGATTGCTCATAGTCTAGTTCCACATGCTAGTCCCTCCTGCGTGTTGCTTGGGGGGTACAAAACATATAAACACTGAATTTTTCTGTTGATTTCTTCTTCTACGCCATTCATTGCCTTTGCTGGTGGATATCCCAGAGCCAGTTGGTGATTCTTGTCCTGACCTGATCTGCCTCATTGTCTTGCTCACCATTGCCTCTCTTTCTAATGAGGAGCAGATTTTCAATGTCCAGCCTCCACCTGGAACTGCATGGGTCATCCCTTGCAATGCATATATTGTGCAAGGCAATACAGGCCATGATGACTTGCCTGATGTTCTTTAGTTTACACTCTGTCTTCTTGTAAAGGATCCTCCATCTTCCTTTTAACATGTCATAAGCATGCTCTGACACAATTCTAGCCGACCAAAGCCTCTTTTTTAAGTAGCGCTTCCTTGGGTCTCTTGTACTTTCACTGTACGGCTTCATTAGCCACGTGTAGCGTGGGAATGCTGGATCACCGACCGTTGTGAACAGTATGTCTCCATACTCCCTTGTTCTTAGTACAGAACTTGGGAAAATCCGTCCTTGTTGAATGTCTGCAAAGAGGTCGCAACTTTTCAGGAGCCTTGAGTCGTGGGTAGAGCCAGGAGCCCCCACAGCTGCCCACAGAAACCTCTTGTTAGACGCAGTGAAGCCCAAGCTGGATACCGAATATCTCTTAAAGTTAAAATAATTTTTCAACTTCGTGCTGACGTAAACATGGAAACCATCCAAGGCTCCTACGCAGGGAAATTCCCACTTTTCAAGAAAGCTTTCAAGCTCTTGCTTCCATTCGGTACTATTTCTGGGTAGGCACACAAACCTGTCGTACAAAGTTGAAACAAGTATCTTACATACCTGGTTAAAAATGACACTCGCGGTTGATTCAGCAACAGCAAACAGGTCTCCTACTGTGCTGTAGGTGCATCCATGGGCTAATCTATACAAACAAATGGCAAGCTGCGTGTCTGGAGGTATCAGCTCAGGTTTCAAATGAGTTGGGTCTTTGACTAGCTGGGTATCTATCTCGCCAAGAATGAACTGAAACGTTGCTCGATTTATCCCCAAGCATTTTTTGAACGCACTGTCGTCCCAATTTCGGTAGCCATGTCTCCACCACGAGGAACTCCTCTGTTCGTCTGGGCTTCTTTCCTTTCTGGGTCGTTTCGCTCGGACAGCACACAAACCTATTGCTTTGGCTGTGTCTATTTCAACATCTTCCATCATCTGAAGTTTTTCCTTTCTCGATTCACTTTTCTGTGTTACCAACATCTGCATTTCTAAGTCATGCCTTTCTTAGCGACGGCGAGAAATACATTTTAAAAGTTGTAACACCACCGCCATGTTAGAGTTTGAACAATTTGTTCGCATTTCGCGGGCTTGAAGTTCATTTTTGGCACCGCCTTAACTCGTGTCCAGTGTCTTCTGAGAGTAGAGCCTAGTCTTTTTTTCAGAAAAATCTACTTTTTTAAATAAGGTCGTCTACTTTTGTGCGTACCGTTTTTACACCAGAGGACTTTAACGTCTCAGACGTTAAATGCGTCTAGACGACTTTAACGTCTCTAGCATAAAAACGGCCAATGACAGTTTTAACACTTTCTAAAGCTCTAAATCTTCCTTGGTTGCACATGTTATTTCAAGCACAGGTTGCCCAAGCCCCTTAAAAGCTGCCAACATCTAAATGCCGTGTTGCCTATCACTGTAAATGCAAGAGCTTGCCCAGGGACTCCTGCCTTACTAGTGGTGTTTGGGACCATTTAAGGGTCATTGAAACGAGTTTTGGGTTCCTTGCTGTCCTCTCTGTATTAAAGTGTATATCATGCATGCACTTAAAATGCACTGGAATCACTCCAAAATAACCCCCAAACACCACAAAACCACAAGTAATGCACGGAAGAGGTACACATTTCTTGCTTTCTTGTACAATACTATTTGGCTACTTTTGTGGTTCTGTTGATATGACATTCATTCATTTCTTTTGTGTGTGTCCTCCAAGACTGCTATTATGCTGACCTTTGATACATTGAAGTCAAATCAAATCTGTCCTTTGTTAATTGTAGGTATATTTGGTGCAGTTTGTAGTTGGCCAACATTGTTGCGAAGACTCTTATCACTCTCGCACACAAGATGTTCAGGAAGAGTTGTTTGATAATGACTCATTGTACTACTGGCGCGCTATCTGCTCTAGTGAGAAAAGCAAATGCAGGCGATCTCAAAGCAAGTTATGGAAGCCTTTTAGTAACTAAGTTTTCTGCATCTGTATTCATTGCCTCATTACTGGATTCTGGAGAGATTGTTCAACCTGTTGCAAAAAACTTTATTCCTGAACTTTGAACAGACAATGGACAGATGCAATGGAAGTTGAGTATACAGCAGATTCAGAGAAGTTTTCCTCAAGTGGATTCTGTGATGCTTACCACTGTATGCTAACTTGAAAATCCACCAACCCAAACATTGCAAATCACTGGCTTATCAAAATGTACAATGATAAATCCAAAGAAGCAATTGGCTCTCTCTTTGTTACAAAAATAACGAGAGCCATTGCCGCAAACACGTTGAAATACATGAGGTAGCCAGGCACTTAACAACGAAGTTCAAGTCACAGGCTCCAAAAGGAATAGGAGATTTTTTTCAGTACGACCATGTGTGCGTCACCACAATAAATGAGCAACCTGCTACAGTGGAGGAATTGTACAAGAACCATTTTGCAAAATTGATAAATAATGATGGTGAGAAAGCTAAACTACTTGAGGATGCAGATGATGCTTTAAAAGATTTGTTTGCAAAAGCAGTGTCTGGTTCACTACATATATGCATCATCCAACAAACAACTCATCCTACTAGATATACAGGGATCTGGCTACTCTTTATACGATTCTGAAATAGCAACAAATGTGATTATGAATGCCGACAGCATGGAGTTTTATTTCTGCTGTGGAAATTGTTCATCAGTAGGGATAACCGGCTTTATTGATGTACATGCACACAATGACTACTGCAAGATGATGGGCCTAAGTCAGCTATAGTCTGCATTCACATTTCCTTCCAAATCTTAACAAAACAACTGTTTTATGACTGGTTTATTTTATTTTCATTCAAGTGTTATAACATACAGGACCCTTTTTTATGTTTCTTATCATCCATTGATTGGAGGGTTAACATGTTTTTATGGATTATTGCCTGTGTTAGGACCTTGACTTAGGCACCTCGAGTTTGTTCAATTATTATGCAAAGTCTACATGCTGTTGTTAATATGGGAATAATGACAGAAATAACCCTTTTAAGAAGTTATGAGATTTAGAATGCTGTTTTTTGGACTTTTTGAAATTTGAACAGTAAAAAGCTGCAATAAAAGTACTTTTTATGATGGGGTTGCACGGAAGAGGTACACATTTCTTGCTCTCTTGCACAGTACTATGTGGCTGCTTTTGTGGTTCTGTTGATATCGCATTCATTCACTTCCTCTGTTTGTGTCCTCCAAGACTGCTATCATGCTGACTTTTAATACATTGAAGTCTAATCAAATCTGTACTTTGACATTTGTAAGTATATTTGGTGCAGTTTGTAGTTGGCCAATATTTTTGTGAAGTCTTATCACTCACACACACAAAATGTTCCGGAAGAGATGTTAGATAGCGACTCATTGCATTGTACTACTGGTGCGCTATCTACTCCAGTTAGAAAAGTAAATACAGCCAATCCCAAAGGAACTTGTGGACGCTTTTCAGTAACAATTATGTTTCCTGCATCTGTCGTAAGCAGAGTCAGAAGTGGACTACCATGCAAAGTAACAAAGTTTTCCTTCCATGAAACAGAAAACAATGTAATTTGGGTGAACACAGCTACACAAATCAACGATGCTTTAAAACCAGCAGAAGCCGCTGATAATAGCGACTTTAAGATCCACTACGGCGAGGCTCTGGTACGGCAAAAGTGTGAAAGATTACTTCCAATGACGTCACTTGTTGTGGTCCAAGCAAGCTTTCCTGCCATAGGATGGCTGTCTGGTACGGCAAACATGCCGAGTTGAGGGAGTGTTCACTACGTGAGTAAACTACAATGCATTTTCATCGAATCTTTACTCGTTAAAATGAACAGATGGCATAAAAACGTTCATTTTACAATATTTTAATAGTTTTTTGGATTTATTACGTTTTTTAGCAAATAACTCGTTCTGAGTGAAGCCGAAAGATGGACCAGTCGGACAAGCACACGTCGCAAGCATCGTAAGTTCGAAGTTGTTTTTATTCACTCTTGCTCACTTCTAGTCTCCAAAACACTGACGTTTAGCGAAATTTCATGCAGCTTAATGTAGAACGAGTAACATCTGGAATATCAATGGTTGGTTGGATCATGAAGAATAATGTTTTCGATTTCATTTTGTTTATTTTCCGTCGATTAGCTGAGTGAAATCTGTCACGGAGTTTTGTGTTACATTTTGCGCGTGACATTTTTTGATATTAGATGCAGCCGATCACGTTTCGAACACGCGATCATGTGAAACTTTGAACGGAGTAGTTTTTTCGATTTAGAGAATTGTAATTTTGTTGAAGGCACGTGTATCGGTTTAGAAGCCCGTTACTTTGTGGAACCCTATGGTTTTTGGCAAGTGTATCGGAATAGAAGCCCATTACTGTAGAGATCTATTGGTTTCGAATAAAATCTATCACAAAATCACTTGACTTGGTTGTTGAGTTTGCCCTTTTTCGGAACTTTGTTTTGATGATAAGCAGTCTCTCTCTCATGAAATTTATCCCCGAATAATGACAAAAACTTTGTTAGAGTGCGTTAGCATTCATAAAACATCTTTTTGAGGGCTTAAATAAGACAAACCAATTTTACACTTATACATCTACGTCTTCTAGTGGAACGTGTTGAAATTACAAATCCACTCTTAATCAAATCTAGGCCGGCCAGTATATACATGTAATGGAAATTCTAGAATGTCTTGAAGTCGTGAGAGTAGGTTTTCTCCGGATCTGAAAAAAATAATATTCGTAAAACTAAACCAAAAATTGTACGCATATTTAATGACAATGTATCAGGCTGAATTTCGAGCCCAGCAGTTTCCATTTGATCTGTCAACTCAGAAGAGACATCCCACTTCTGCATAGAAGCAGAGGAAAACTTTATGCTTATTTTTTACCCAAAATCTTGAGTAAAAAAGGAAACCCTCACTTCATAAGAAGTGGTACCAATGCCCAGTTATATGATGATATCCTTTATTTTTCGTAAAATTCCAGTGTCAAAGGTTGCTGTTTTTGCACGGACAGAAATGGTTGTTTTCTATTCTTTTTATCTTTATTAGCAAGGCAATGGACAGGGGAGCATGATATCCTTCTTTCCCGAGAAGTTCTTGGCCTAGAGGTTGATATACACAAAAAGGGAACAAACGAAGCAGGGCGTCTGTGGGATGAAATTGGCAAGAGTCTGAGAGGGTGCCAAAACTGTGAGAATTAAATCTAATTTATCTCAGCGAGCAGTCAGGGAAAAGATTTAACCTGATCCAAGGCAGATTGAAAGAAAATGGAAAAACAGAATTAACTGCATCTGGAATTTCTGTTCCAGAACAAGATGAGCTTGATATACTTCTTTAGGACATAACAGAAAGAGAAAGAGATGCTATTGCAGAAGCTAGTGAAAAGAAAGGTCAGGAGAAGGCTACAGCAGCAGATATCAGAAACCAATCTTTGGAGCGGATGGGGCAAACAAAGAAACGAAAATCTGAAGACGGTTAAGAGCCAAAGGAAAGGAAATCCAGGAGAAGCAGTAATGAGGCCCTCCAGTTTATGCAGGAGAAGGCTGAATCAGACAAGGCATTCCGAGAAGAAGAGCTAAACATAAGGAAAAAAGAAGAAACCAAAGCTGCTCAATTTCAAGCAATGTTGCCCCAGCAGCAATCCTTCTTGCAAGCAATGACCCAACAGCAGGCTCAACAGCAGAAACAGAATCAACACCTGCAGATGTTAACGGCACAGCAAAGTCAGGCATTGATGTCTGTTTTGGAAAAACTCTTTTTAAAAGAGTGACTCAAAAACGTCAAAGATCAGTTTCATTCCAGCTTAGTTTTACAGCAAGAAGTGTTAGATTAATAGGGATGTGAAATCATTCCAAGTATTGTAGCAAAGTTGTCTTTTGGAGTCAGCTACTGTATTGTAAAGGTAATTCATTTTGGATTTCCATGGAAGGTCATCAGAGTGTGCCTTTATTTTATATTTGTTTTTAAATTTGTTTTTTAAAAGGTTAAAACAACCAATGTTGGTCAAAAAAAAATTTCACCCATAAGACAGAAAACATATAAAGAAATATGGCTCTTGTTTTCATAACTAACCTCGAATTTAAGCAAAAACTACTTTTGTGTTTTTGCATGAATTCATGGCCAAAGATCAAAACAAAGGCTTTTCTCATCGGGTATCACATTTTTCAAGTTCATATCTTTATTTGCAAAAGGCTGATCTTTTACTGACAGTCTCAAAAGCAATACAATTTTAACAGGAGTCATATGTGAGATCAACTCTACAGCATTTTTTATAAGACTGAATCATTACATGACATACAGTTTCTAAATGCAAGTGTGATATGCCTTTACAGAATCTAGTGTGGTAAAAATAATCAAAATCTTGAGGTATACATAGTATGTTGAGGTTTGTCACCCTTGAGAACTGATGCTGTGACCCCAACATGTTTCCAACAATTCTCATTAAATCCAGCAAAACTTCTGAGAATGTGTAAGTGCTCTTGGTTTCATTGCTGTGTTGCTAATTTACACCATAAAACCATAATGCTTGAATTATTAAAGATCATTTTCAAAACAATTAGCCTAAACTGTAGCACTTATGCCAAATAAGTTTCAAGGTCGGGAGGATTACACTGGAAAAAATCTGAGGTTGTGTTTCCATATAGACATGTTAGCCAATTTCTAAGAATAGCACTGACGACGTACATTTTCCCTGCATCACTCAGTCCCAAATTTAAGTTCTTTTTAAAGTCCAGAAACTTTAAGTAATTTATTATGTCTCTGAACAGCCACTCCACACTTGTTCTCACTGAGCTCATAGCAGTATCATAAGCTTCCATCTGTGGGGTAAAACTCCATTTCTAAATGGACATTGAAGTTGTACACGGATGGGGTAAGCAGGATCCCCGTAAATACAAAGTGGTTGTCCAGCCAGGTTGAAGGCATACTGACGGAGATCATCCAAAAGGTGAGACTCAGCAAGCATGCTTTCGTCCCTCTGAAACAAAGTTCATGGATAAGAAGAGTGTTAAAGTTCAGTCAGATAAGTGAAAAAGTCCTATAACATTTTGTTAAAAGAACATTGAAGCATCAAGGGTCTCACAGGAATATTTCATTCACTTTTCTGGTAACTATGACAATTCAGGAAAAATGAAACTATTTATTTGTTCATTGATATATTTATTACGAACTGAAAATATTTTGTATATATTTATATCTCAAATGATCTTTTACCTCTCAAATGATCTCAGCATTGTTGAAAGTATGAATGACTTTTTCTCCTCTGTGTTTACATCAGAGGACTGCGATAACTTCCCCGAATTTGAATATGTCACCAATTGTAAACTTTCAAACATTCTTTGCAACACAAAGGAAGTCGCCTGGACCTGACAACTTACCACCTCGCATTCTAAAGGAATGTGCGAGTATTTTGTCATCACCTCTGTGTTTTTTCTTTAACAAATCATTTTCAACAGGCAAATTGCCACATCTTTGGAAACTCGCTAACATCACACCTTTGTTCAAAAAAGGCAGTAAGACTGACAGGAATAATTATCGCCGGATCTCATTAACATCAATAATGTGCAAGATCGCGGAGAAAATCGTTAAGTCTCGAGGGATGGATTTTTGGCGAGACATAAATATCCTCAACCCGAACCAGTTCGCTTACGTGGAGGGCCGATCAATGCTTTCGGAGCTTCTTTCTTGTTACGATGATTGGGCGAAATCACGCAACAACAGAAAGCCAACTGACATCGCCTTTTTGGATTTTTCCAAGGCGTTTGACAGCGTACTGCATGAGCGTCTTCTTTTCAAGCTTAAGCGTCACGGTATCGACGGCAGTGCTCTCCAGTGGTTTCGTAATTTTTTAACCGGTCCGATGCAACGCGTCGTCCTGGGTGGTACTTGCTCGTCCTGGTCTCCAGTTTTATGTGGAGTACCCCAAGGAACAATCCTCGGACCCGTCTTATTCATTTTATACGTGAATGACATCTCGTCAAGTATCTCATCAACGGTTAAACTGTATGCAGATGATACCAAGGTTTACAGAGAGATCTCAGACATAGCTAGAGACACAAGCATCCTTCAGTCCGACTTATTCCACCTTAGAAATTGGTCTGAGGTCTGGCAGTTAAACTTCAATTCGAAGAAATGTGAAATTATGCGAGTTACACATAATCGTGATAAACCTGTCCCACATTACTCCTTCGTCCCATGTGGAGAACGTCTAAGCTCAGTGAGTTCTGTAAAGGACCTCGGCATCACGATCTTGCATGACCTCTTGTGGACTTTACACGTTGTTGAGGTTGTCAATAAGGCCAATAAAGTTCTTGCAGTTGCCTCCTCACCCTATAAACCCCAGATTCAATTTTCTAAAGAAAAGACAACCTACCCACAGGGCCATACATATTTGCAATCATTCCATCTGGGGTAACAACAGACTGAAACTTGATTCCATGGACACGTTTGTGTCCATTGTACAGCAACCCCTGGTTGACAGTGCCGGGCCTACAAATAGGGCGAACTGTCCCATCAACAAAAGCAAAACAGTTATTAAGTAGGGCTTCTTTTCGGTGAACAACTTCGGCAAATCTTTCAAGCTTGGCTTTGCTTAGTTGCTGATGATTCTACTGCAGAATGCGGTGGCTGTGAGCTTGACAGATATAATCCAAAACTTGATTTGTAATCATACACAATACAGGAACCGGCTTAGCGAACAAGTGGACCATATCGCTGTATCGGCAAGGGTAGCACAACCACTTCGAAAGCATGCATAGTCCTTCAATCCCTTCACAAATTGTCCCTTGGTGACAAATTATAACATCAGGAATCCGCAAAGCCTGAGAAAGCCTTGGGTTATCAGTTTTCCTAAACCGAAATTCGGCCACACATTCATCTTCGGTCCGGTTTTGGAGGTCGAAATGTGGATACAAGTCACACGGCAAGTCCAGGTTTTGTGGGCTCTAAAGGTCGTATAGTTAGAGAAATTCGGCGTCATCGAGGACTTTCATGTCATAGTAGAGCACTATAAAATCTTTCAATTCTTTCCAAGAAACCATTTCTTCTAAATAAACATACCACAACCAAAAAACTTGGAGCCGAGTCTGATTTGTTTACATCGAGTTTGACTTTGCCGTACTACACAAAACTTAATCAATTCGAGTTTTGGCGGGAGACGGCATAGTCGACCCAGTCTCTTTCGATTGCATCCGCCGTACCAGAGCTTCGCCATAGTCCCTAATGAAACACCAGTGGTGAACACAAAAGATCTTGATATTCAAGTTTATCAAAGTATCACAGTTCATGGCATGGTTCTTTTCGGAGACAACAAAGCAGAACCTGTCCCTAACAAAACTGATCTTATCAAAAAGAAAGGATCCTTTGTGGACGAATGTGGAAGTATTCCAATTATGATTTGGAACAAACAAATTGAAACTGAGGAAGAAGGTTTGTATGAAATCAAAAACATTCGTCTTTGACAATTTAAGGGCGAAAAATACATATCAGCAGTGACAGACACTCCCTTCAACAAATTTGCTGAAAACCTGTCGCTCATACCTCAACGAAAAATCAAGGACACAAAAGAAGAAATAAAAACGAACGAGATAACCTGTGATCACATTCAAAGCGTAGACATAACAGTGTTCTACAAATTACTGTCACACCAAGATGGGTTCAACAAGTTTATTGGCAAAATGACAAACAAGAAATCTGACAAAAGACAGACCCCAAAACCCAAGGTGTGAAGTAATGAGGAAGTAGTGAAAGCTAAGTGGTAGTGACCTAATCGTGAGTTGTACGGATGTGCTGAGCTAAGGTTTTAGCGACATTGAGTTTTTTGAGTGGTGTTGAGAACTAAATAAACCATATAAGCATCTGATGACCAATCCCCTAAGAATTTAATGAACAAGGGTGAAGCACCAGCATGAAAGGCAAAAGTAGCACCTCCCCTTCTGAAGCTGTGGGGAGAATATTGTGTGGGATCCAACCCAAGACTATGCAAGACTTAAGGAATTTAGCAAAATGATACCCTGTAACAGGCTTGAATCCTGTTGAGATATGAATAGTAAATAAAGGTGCCTCAGTGTCCGCGGTTACATAGCGAAGATGACGTTTCAATGCGGAAACAGGACATAACACTGAGTGAGGGATGAATGGCAGAACAATTTCAAGGGCCCTCTGCCTAAACTGAATAGTTTTGGTTTTGTGTACATGGAGTGTACAGTGGTCTTGATGAAAGCTAACATCGCAAATTCTTAAGTGAGTAGCTGAAGCACTATTAACATCGGCTATTGTGGTAGGAACTAAATTAGATTTACGCAACAATGAGAAAAATGCAACAAGAAAAATTGTCCACATGCAAACATGCAAGGGATGACAAAAATCCAACAACTTGAAAATGGCTAACAAAATGTCGACAGTAATAGGTAATTTACGCCCTACTGGTTTGGGTAGCACACGTTTGGCAGCCTGTTTGAGAAAATTAATCTGTGATGATGCAAAAAAGGTGACATCAGCTCCTAAGTATAGATTAACTTGCTTAAGGCAACTGAGATAATTGTTAACAGAACTATATGAAGAAAAAGAACCTACAAGAAAGGCTAAATAGAGCCAATAGACCTGCTCAGTTACCGGAAAGGCTGGTAGGTCATAAGCTCTACAAAATAAGAAATAGGCTCTAAGTTGTGTTCTGCAGTTACGCATTGTTTCTTCACTAAGTGCTGATTTCTTGAGCAGACCAAGGTAATGGACCAGGGATTCTGCAAAGTATGTAATAAAATACCAATATTAAACGCCAGCAGGTTAAGTGCAGGTAAAGGAAAACAGCAGACATTACAACTTCACGCCGATTTAAGTGTGTACCCCAAATTTTGGGGTCATCAAGTATTCATATATTCAGGCTATTGTTCTTGCCATTGTCGATTACCTTCCGAAGAATCCACGAGCGGAATTCCTTTGATTTAGGTGCGATATGTCTCTTTTGTTTCGAATTTTGTTGCTTGATTGACTTTTTAATCCCCATTGTTACCTGATGAGTATTAAATTTATCCATTAAAATACTCGGAATTGCCTGTTAAATTTGCTGCAGTCTGTGGGAACGCTTACAAGTCTTTTAAGCGTGGCGGACAACTCGGGTTGCATAACATATTTTCGGCCACGCACCGTATTGCAAAGGAAACAAGCCTGATAAATTTGAAGTTGATTAAAGCTTATAAATACCTGGTCTCCAATAGTATTTTTTATTAAATACTCTTTTGCCTTGAAAATAATTTGGCGTTTAAAGAATTTCTGCGGAAGTTATTTATTAGAACGTGTTATTCATTCAGTAGCTCTGCAATCAAGAGCGAACAACTCTTTTCAAAATGTAAACAACGCAAGCGGTGAGTGCATTTAACGAGATGACACAGTTTTATTAGGCTGTCATTTCACTTTTTTCGACGTTTTCGCTTGCCTTTCAGTTTTTTTTTGTTGAACAAAACCTTGCGTTTCAGTTACGTGACTGCAGGGCCCGAAATAACCGCGTATTGTCAGTTCACCGATTTGCATGACAACGTGATTCGCGGAGTAGTCACATGAGACGGGAAATATCTAAAATCAAAACAAGAGCTGTAATCAACAGATCAAAACTTGCAGAGTTCATAATTCCTCGAAATAATTTTGTACAAACGCTTGTATAGTTTCATTGCTCTGGAGAAATGAATAACTGTTATGATTGAATGAATGGATAACTCTCGGCCGGATTTTATTAAGCGATAGGCGAGAAAAAATGCTTCAGCGGCTTGCTTTGTACTTCGAAACCTCGGCAAGAAAAAAAATCCAATCTCGGTCCACAGTGGTCGAACTTTCTCGTTCATGATCTCTTTTTGAAGCTCTCAAAATTATCCTTTTTGAAAAATACGTGTCCAGGTCGAAGAAGTTTTGCGAAAGACGTAAATCCATAAACTCCTACCGCAATATGTGCGATAATTCTCTGCAGTTTTATTGACACACTTAGAACAAAAGGATACCTTTAAAACTTCGCGACCCTGGGCAGCTTAATTAAGCCATTGTTCAATTCCTTTGAATTCGCTTCTGAGTCTTCCGCTATAAAATCTCACCTTCTTTGAACCGAGTCAAAACGAGCACTCTCAAAGGGAAAGTCCGGAGGAATAAATTGAGCCTTCAGGGTACAAAATCCAGCGGTTATGCCCATTTCTGAAATACACACTTAAATCGGCGTGAATTTGTAATGGAGGGTTAACTGCAACGGGCTGTAACTCAAGGGAAACTGTTAAGGGATGGAATCGTGATTGGTAGATGGCATCTGTGTGCCACCTACTAAGGCAATCTGCTAATGTGTTTTCATGTCCAGGAATGTGCACAGCCTTGAGCATGATGTTGTTAACTGCTAATGTCAGCCATAATTCCCGTAAACAAGCATGTAAGAAAACGTGCCTGCTACGCATAGAGTTTATCATTTCAACCCATGCCTGGTTGTCACGGTGAATCATTACGCATCTGCCTTTTAACTTTAATTGCCATGGCTTGACTGCCACAACCACTGTGAAAAGTTCCAACTGCGTAATGGATAACTGTTGCTGAGTAATAATTGGCGGGAAGAGTTCATGGAAATATTCTCCTTCACAGATGGCTCCACATCCTGTCAGGCTAGCATCGGTGGAAAATAACTGTTCGCTGGATTATAGAAACTCTGTACCTATCACTGAGACCACTGCAAGTCCAGTTTGAGCTCATATGACACAAAAATAGTTCTTCTACGCGAATCACAACTGCGCAGTTCATTCAACAAACGCGACATAAAAGCCCGCCCAGGGCGCACGCAACTGCACACGTAACTTAATTTACCAATGAGGACTTGCAATTGATGTTTAGTGGCTTGCTCCAGCTCAAGCCAATGAGAAAGTTCAGCTCGCAATTCCAATAATCGAAACTCAGGAACCGATACAGTCACGTCATCCGTATTGAACCAAATTCCAAGCACAAACATTTGTGTGTTCGGCAGTTGATCTTTGGCGGGAGAGGCTTCCAAGCCCAGTTCATCAACCAATTCAGTCATCCTTTTGAATGCTACACCTGCTAACTCTGCTAACTCAACGCCATAAAAGTCATCAATGTAGACATCAGCAAGATAACCCTCTGTAGTTAATATATGAATCACTGCTTTTGTTACTCGCTGGCATACCATAGCGGCCAAGCGAAGTCCAAAAGGAAAGCGTGTGTGAAAATATAGTTGATTGTCCACAACAAAACCAAGCAAAGGAACATCCTTGGGATCCAGGGGCATTTGTCAGAGGGCCCGAGCAAGGTCTTTCTTGTAGATATGACAATGACGTCCACGTAATCGAATGAAATGAGTAAGTCTTTCAACACCTGGAAGTGTTAACTTGTATTCATGATTTAAATAACTATCCTTTGGTATTCCGGAATTAACTGATGCACTCTCAGGGAAGCTTAAGTCATGAACCACCCGTAACTTTGAACTGTCCCGTTTTGGCACTGATTGTAACGGCGACACAACACATGGACAGGAAAATGGATTGCACGAAAATAGACCAATAATTGCTCCATGAGCAAGTTACTCAATGAGATAATCCATCAGACACAAATTGTTTTTGATGGCAGAGGAGTGGTTATTCAAAGTAGACTGTGGCAACACATTTGACTGATAATTAATTGGCCAACCATAACGCAAGTATTGGACTATAATAAAATCATCATAATCATGCAGGTATGTGATCCAGTTGTCAATATTGAACGAGGTTTTAATGGGCACCTGTGCAAGAGCAAAATTGTAGTCGCCTGAACGCAAGACTGTTTCGATAATGTCAATGTTTTCAACTAGTCATTATGGCCTTTGCTGAGCAGATTTGTTAGTTGGAATAGGATATCTCCGTTTACCACAATGGAGCATGGGATGCTGACCAGAATCACATACTCTGCAGTGATGCGTGTTCTTGTACTCCGGGTCAGTGATGTTACAAGAGCATTTGGCGGTATAATTCCAGTCAGTACAATACATATCTTTCTGCTCTCTCCAAGGGGGGTCGCGTTTCTGGCGTGGACCTGAAAACTTGGAGCCTGTATTCTGACTGGAACGAAGATCAGCATGAAAGTATTCGATCGAGCTTGAATGACATCCATTTGACCCCAGGTAAGCCTACCTTGTGCCAACGCTTGGTTAATAGACAAATTAAAATTTCGAACACTCGGCCAGGAGTAGTTTATAAGCTTTTTCCATAAGCAACTGGAGAAACTGAAGCAGATGTTGGTGTTGTGATTGCTGCTGTTGTTGAACAAACTCAAGAAAGGCAAACACAAATTCTGAAATGTCAATTTTATCATAATCCAACGTACCTTTTGCGGAGAAAACAGTGTGCCCTTTAGCACTAGCTTTGAGCTGCTGCATAACCGGAAAGGTGGGATTTGCTAGCTGATTCTGCTCCTCTCGCGACAGTGGGGTCAGTTCATCCATGAGCGACGCAAGGATTTTTTCTTGCGACTGGTCGTACATAAGTTGACCACGTGCATCAGCTGAGATTGTGTTGTGTTGTTTGGAGTGCTTCTGCGCCGAGTTTTTCTTTCTGTGAAAGAAGCTTTAACTCCAGTTGAAGGATTTGCTTTTCTAACCGCTCCAGCTCCAGTTGGTCTTGAATGTTGGCGGATTTTGTAGATTTCTTCTTTGCCACAGCGCCCGTCACAGCTGGCGTTGTCGCTGGGACCTGTGCAGCCGACTGAGCAGCCGCCGAGGGAGTCGCATTTGGATCAAAATCAGTAGGAAAAACCATAGGAGGAAAGTCATACACAAAATCTGGATTGAGTGGTTGTTTGACTGATCTTTTAGGCTTGGAAGCTGCCATGGTTGAGGATACTCAATTGAGGAAGCGTGGAGAGATGACACACCAAGAGTTGCCACAAATGAGCTGGAGTTCTTTCAATAAAAGTCGGTGGCTGAATGAAGGAAGTTTGTTTTCTTTAAGACGACTGAGGATAAACAGAGTTGCCTGGAGTAAGGAAGAGGCTCCTGGATCGATTTTGGACGGAGAGTGATCTGGCTTGTCAAGGCCTAACGCTAGGAGATTGTCCAACAACTAAAGCACATGTAGAGGTCACATGATCAATTCTGGCCAATGACTGTTCGCCATTAATTACATGTATTAACATAAATTAATACTACCCACTGCGTTAAAAGCGCCAAAAAGTCCAATTTCAACAAGAATAAACTTATGCTTGGGTTTAGGAACTGCCGGTCAAGATTTCTCATCAAAAATTATACCAAAACTACGACAGCACGTGTTTCGGTCAAAAAAAACTGTGCAAAAAATATGGTATTCATTAATTTTTTTCGTAATTTAATCGTTTAAAACAGTTTCTTGTCCTACCATAATAACATTAATTTTTATTTACATTACCGACATTACAATTTTCAAAGATAATAAACAAATAACTCACACATGCATGCACAGCAAACACGACACACAACGACAGTATCAATACTACTAAACCGTAACAAGTATTTATCCGCAATTGTGTAACAGCTCTCAAGAGTGCTTGCCATTTCCATAAATGAAAAGACGTTTTGTTTGATTTGGTGATGATGGTTTCTAATTGATAAACGTTATTTAGTCTTGCCAAGAAAACCCGTAAACAAGGGTTTGTTTTCGTGCATCTTCAATTATATATATACTGAATCAGGAAGCTTTGTAGTCTAGGAGGTAGAACCCTGAAAAAATCGAGACGTAGCACACCCTCTACATATTTGGTCTGACATCACAAAATGGTAGGGCAATACCCATAGAACATTTTTAGGTATGATGTACTAATGTACTGGTGGGACATCGTTGTGGTGGGGGCTCATTTGTGACTGCTGTTAAGGTCCCCGTGATTTAAGCATATTTTTAGTATCATTATTTTATACATGTTCAACTCGACATTACTCCCCTAAAGTTAAGCTTAGACAATTTTAAATTGGCTCAAGCATTACTGGTGTGAATATATTTCATCTTTATGTGTGAAACAACTTAACGAGGTTTCCATGGTAACCGTTGCTAAGGTCATTTTTAGTTAAGGGTATTTAAGCAATAATTAGTATTAGATTCTTTAGAATAACGACCAAACTTATCACTTCCTTATCCATCATCTTAAGTTAATCAAACAAAATAACTCATCTTTCCCTTAACAACTGCTGTTTACTACAGTGATTATGGTCAAAACTTGTTCCTTTATTTTCTCTTTTTGCTCACAATAATCTTTCACTATCTTGACAAAATCTGAACAATGTTTTCACGGTAACAACTGCCAAAACTTGAATGTGTATTGCTGTTACTAGAGTACTAGAGGCTAAACGTCAGCATTTCTTAGCTCGTCTTCACTGCTTCCAGGTGTTACATCACCTAGCTTGTGAGGATTTTGGCAACTTTCATCATTCATACAAAGGCATGCCTCTGTACAGGGCATCTCGTGGGCTTTGCAAGGACACAAGGTCTTCCCTTCTGCGGACAGATTTGTTACATTTGCAAGTCGTCAGTTCAAGCAGCCCTTGTGGTGCTGGATCCTTGGACATCAAAAGTGGTTCCAAAACACCATCCACTTTCTTCCATCCGTTGCTGACTGGCGACGGGAGTTGCTGTGTTGCATTGAAGCAGT